GTTGGGTAAAAGGAGGGAGGTTTGAGAGGGAGAGAAAGACCCTGACCAAAGTCTCTCCCCCCCCCCCTAAACTCAAACCTGGCTCTCCCATCCCTGACTGGTCAGCCAGTAGCTGCCCCCGTTTCAGTGCCCGCTGGAGGTGAGCAGCTTCGGGGCTGTCCTTCCAGGGGGGGCTTGAGGGACCCTCCGGAGGCACGCCAGAGCCCCAGGGGCCCCACCCGCCCTTTGTGGCAACCCGAGCTGGCCTGGCACAGGCTCTTCCTTGCTATGTGCTGGTGGCGGGCTGCAGGAAGGATGGGGGGCTTCCCGAGGGGTCCTTGCTGTGGCCTGGGAAAGAAGAGGGGGGGCCTGAAGGCCAAGCCGAGGGGCTTCTGCTAGTGGAGCAGCGCTGGGGGCCCCGGGCGTGCTGTAGGCAGCTAGCAAGCAGGCCGGTGGCTGGTGTGGTGACGGTGGCCTCGAAGGAGGAGAACACGTTGACCTTGTCCCTTTCTCTCTCTCTTCCCCCCGCCCCCCCCCCACTGCCTTCCTGTAGCTTTACGTTTCTGCCATGTAAGTAACTGACTCCGAGCCACTCTGGATGGGGGTCAGTGCTGCCCTCCGCCCATCACCACAGGATGGTGGATTGGGCCCCTCGCATAGCCCGTCACCTGCCCTGCTTGGCCAGTTGCCCTCCTTCCCCACAGCCCTGGTCTCTGCCAGGAGCCCCTCCTGTGGGTGGGGGAGCTGGGGGAGTGCCATCTGCAGTGGGGGCTGGTGATTTCAGGAGTGCCAGGGTGGCTTTGCCAGGGGGGGGGGGGAGGGGGCAGGAGATTGAGGGAGAAGAAGGAGCGAAGTGGGTGCTGCCTTGCCCAGACCTGATGCCTCCTCTATCCCCTGCCTGCCTGGCCAGGGGTGGGCTCCCTTGGCAGTGGCTCAGGCCAAGCTCTGCTTCTTGTGATGCCTGGTGCCCCTCGTCCCTTGTGGTCATGGGGGGGGGGTTGGGAGGGGCTCCCCAATTCTTTTGGGAGGGCTCGTGGCTCCTTTCCAAGGGAGCGGCCCCTGACCTTCCTCTTATGAGCTGAGGGTCCGAGACCCACAGGAACCCTTTCCCCTAGCTTCTCATACTGACCTTGCAAGCTGTCTCTGCTGCCCCCCACCCTCCTTTGGCTCCCCGCCTGGTTTGCTGTCTCCCCCTCCTCCCCAACTTCCCTGGTGAGGGTTGGGAGTCCCAGCAAGCCCTTCGGGAGGGGAGCTGGAAGGGGGGGGATTGCATGGCACCCTGGGGCTTTCCTCCCCCCCTCCCTGCTTCTCCCCCCCCCCCTTGGGAGACTGATTTCAGGGGGAAAGGTCTCCCCCTCCAGCTGCCGGATGGGGGCTGATCCTCCTCCTCCTCCTCTCCCTTCTGCCCCCCTGCAGTTACGAGAAGCGGCTGTACTGAGGACAACTTCCAGAGCAGTGGCCAGTGACCGCTCCGGCCCCCTTGCCAGGGGCCGCTGCTGAAGCCCACCAGTGTGCCCACCTCTTCTCTCGCCCCTGGATTGGCTGCGGCCCAAGACTTGTGCTCCGGGCTGCCCTGCTGGCGGCACATCAGGCCTCTCGCCCGGTGCTGTGGCTGACTCCACTTGGTGGGCAGAATTGGGGGTGGGTGGGATGAATGCCCCTCTTGGGCTTTCCCCCAGCGCCTGGCCTCCAGCCTGCAGGTGGGCCCTTGGCCGGTCTCCCCCTCCTGGGCCCAGCGCCTCTCCCGGCAGGTGCAGCTGGAGCCAGCCTCCAGGGCCTCGGGGCTGGCCCTTGGATGGCAGCTGAGGGGGAGTTGCTGCCCTCCTGCTGGCGTGGGGAGGGAGGGGGTGGGCCCAGGTGGACAGAGCTGCAAGGGACCAAATCCAGCTGCAACGGTGTGGGTGGGGGCAGCCTCTGTCCAAGCCCTTCTGCCCAGCCCCTGGCCCTCTAGGGCTGGCTCTCCGGCCCCCACTGCAGCCGCCTCCGTGCTTCTCTGGGGAAGAGGATCCGGGGCTGTAAAGGGGGGCAGCCCTCCCCCCACCCCAACCCGGGATTCCCTCCCAATGCTGTAATGTTCATGCATGCCAGGCCCCACAGTCACCTCCTGTATTATTCCTAAATAAAAGCAGCGGAGTGTCATTTCAGCGGCTCTGCTGGTTCCTGCGCTGGAATTGGGGTGGGGAGAGGAGAAGAAATGGGGTGGGGGACCAGGAGTCAGGCTAGAGAGTCCCCTAGAGCCCTCCCATCGGACATTCCCCCGGCCCAGCATTTGAGGAAGGGGGGGGGCTTTTCAGAATCTCCTCAATCCATTTGGATGGTTCGAGAAATGTAAGTCCAAGTCATAATGACCCTCCCACACCTTGGGACTCCCCCCCCCCCAGTCAGGACACAGGGAGGCTCTTTGGAGGAGAAGCCCTCTGATTGCTTGCAGAACCTGACAGCCCCCTCCCCAAATTCCTTCCCAGATGGAAGGGCAGTAAGACCCCCCCAACTTTCCACCTTCAGGACTGCAGCATCCAGCATCCTCGGCCTGCACAGCCCTTGTGCCCCCCCCCCCCGGCCCCCTGGCCAAGCTAGCAAGGTGATGAGGGGGATGGTCTCCCTCCCATCATGTCCGACTCTTGGGGGTTCTGTGGGCCAGGTGGGCTCTCTGCCTCTCCCCATCTTTTACTGCCTCTTTTCTGTGCTCTGGTCAGCTTTGGGGTGTCCAGCCACACTGTCCTTTGGCGGCCTGGCTTCCTTTGGCCACCAGCCATCATTTCTTTCTCCAGTGAACTAGCAAGGGAAGCAGATCCACACACACCCATGTCTAGGGAAGCCAGAGAGCAGCAGAGATGGGGCAGCCGCTGGCCTGGCCCTCAGCCAGCCCCCCAGGTGGCCTGCCCCAACCGGGCCCAGCGCCCTCCAGTCCTGTCCCAGGGCTTTTTCCTTCTGCCTCAATCGGATGGGTTGGCTGGCACTCAGGATTGTGGGTATTCGGCCTGGTTGTGGCTGGGACTAAATCTGAATTTGGGGAAGCCATCCCGGAGCCATTGGCATTTTGTGGGGGAAAGCAAAGATGGCTTCTACCAACCTCACCACCTTCGCTTTAGCCTCCCTTGTCCAGAAATTACTGGAGGGGGGGGGGGCGACAACAAATGGTGTCCTTTGCCAGTTGGGCCAGGGGTTCAGGACCCAGAGGCTCCGAGGGAAATGGAGGGTGGGCAGCTCTTCCTTTGAAGGGCCCCGAAGGTGGGTATTCCTGGGGTGGGGGAGGCTCTGAGCTCCAAAAGGGGCAGGACAAGCAGAGGGGCCCCTCCCCCTCCAAGCACAAAGACCAGGCAGCCTCTCCATAAAATCTTTTATTAAAATTCCAGAGCTTCGGGAGGATCCAGTGGGGGATTTGGATTCCCCCCCCCCACGCCAAAAAAAAAAACCAGTCGCCGCTCTTTTTGCTGGCTTTGAAGGGGGCTCCGTTTCAGGGCCACCTTGGCCGGGTCCCAGCAAGGAAGGGAGGGGGAGGGGCAAATAGCTAGCAGGAGGGGAGGGGGCGGCTGTGCAACGGCAGAACGCCGACTCCTCGCTTCTCTTCCCGCAAGACGTTTAATCGGGTCCGCTGAAGACCCAGCAGCCGTGTTTGCACAGGGAGGAGCTGGGTGAGTTGCGGAGAGCTTGGCGGGTTTTAGGAACCGGGCCCTTTGCTGATCTGGCGCTTGGCGCGGAGGCAAACGCCCTGGGGGGGGGAGGTAGAGCGCGGCTCCCGAAGGCCGGAGCCCTCTGCCCCTGCACAGCCGCCTGGGCGGGAGGGGTCACCAGGCTGCGCATACTCCCGTCGCAGCCGCACAGCCGGCTCAGAGCCGAGGTTCGGGGCGGGGGTCCATCCAGGCGGTTATAAATCTATGGTGTCGCTGCCAACACTGACAGCATCGGCCATCGGCTCCTCCCCAGTGAGGGCCGCGTCCCCTCCGGCCTGCCCCGGCGAGGCCAGGGACTCCCTGGAGCGCTCGAGCGGGCTCCCGCCTGGGTTTCCGGCAACCGGAGAAGACGGGAGCGAGCCTGCGCGGCTCGGGGAAGGCCCCGCGGCGCTCCTGCTGGGGCTGGCGGTGGAGGAGGGCCGGGTGGCGGACCCGCGGGGCTGCAGAGCGGCCGCCCCGTCGTCCTGCGGCCGGAGCGGGGCCAGTTCCAGGCAGGAAGCGGCGCGGGACAGGGGGCGCTCGGGGGCCGAGGCCAGCGAGAGGATGCTGCAGGCGGAGAAGGCGCCGCTGCCCCCGAGGAGCCCCTCGCTCGACAGCGCCTCGTCGATGCTGCGGCGCAGGTCGATGGGTGAGGGCGGCTGGAAGTCGGCCGTGGGATCCGCCGCCTCCGCGGCCAGGCTGAGCACCGACCAGGCGGGCGCGGCGCGGGGGGCGTCGAGAGGCCCCTGGGTGGGCACAGCGCACAGCGGGAGGTAGTCGGACTGGCTACGGACCACCGAGTCGCCGCACCCGACCAGTTTCTCGTGCTGGGACAGCGCCCAGTGGAGGCTGCTGGGCAGCACCGGGGCTTTGGCGGCGGAGCTGCCCGGGCGGGAGGCCAGGCGGCGGCAGCAGGCGGCGGCAGAGCAGCCGCAGATGAGGGAGAGGCCGAAGGCGGCCAGCGGCAGCCCCACGCCCGCCTCGCACAGCCGGCACGAGAGCTGCAGCGCCCACCAGGGCCAGGGCCCGAAGAACGCCGGGCTCAGCCCGTAGCCCAGCACGTGCAGCACCGAGTAGCCGTGCAGGCCGGCGCTCAGCAGCCCGAAGGCGGCGGCGGTCGAGGCGGCGCGGGCGGCGCGGCTCCACCGGCGGCCGCTGGCGAAGGATCCCTGGCAGGCCGGGGGCGGTGGGGCGGGGCGGAGGTCGTAGATCTGGGCCGCCTCCCCCCGTGCCAAGCAGGAGCAGCCCAGCAGGGCGGCCGAGAGCAGCGCGGCCAGCAGGGCGAAGAGCCCCCGCGAGGCCAGCAGCAGCACCGGCAGCCGCTCGGCGGCCAGGACGGCGCCGGCGGCGGCCGAGAAGTGGCCCAGCAGCAGCAGGGCCAGAAGGCAGGGCGCGCGGAGGCCGGGGCGCGCCGAGAGCTTGGCCCGCGGGCGCCGCGAGAGCAGCAGCAGGGCGGCGGCCAGAGCCGAGGTCAGGCAGGGCAGCGGCAGGTCGCGCAGCAGCCGCACGGCCAGCGCGGGGAGCCGCTCCCGCCGCCGCCCGTCGGCCTGGCCGAAGAGCAGCCCGGCGCGGGCGCTGCCGGCCCCCAGCAGCAGGAGGAGCAGCAGGGCCAGCAGGCGGCCCTCGGGGGCGGCCAGGCGGCGGAGGCGGCAGGGCAGCGCCAGAAGGGCCAGCAGGGCCAACGCTGCCAGCAGGGCGAAGAGGGCGCCGGCGCCGTACACGTGGCCTTCCCAAGCCGGTCCCCAGGTGGCCAGCGCCGCCGTCCACTCCGCGTGTAGCTGCACGAAGAGGGGCCCGCTCGGCATCAGCTGGGGTGTGCCTGGCTCGGGCCGGGGGGAGCCGCAGGCGTCGGGCCGGTCGGGCAGACAAGCGGGCAGCGCCACGAAGGCCTCCTCGCTGCCCGGCGGGGCGGTGGGGCTGCCGCTGGACTCCACCGGTCCTGGGGAGAGAAGACGGGAGGGAGGGTTAATCCAGGAAGGGAGAGGCCGCTCCTGCCCGGACGACGGAGGAGAAATCTTCCTGCTGTCTTCCTAGCTCTGCCTGCCCTCTGGGGGCACAGCCAGAGATTGTGCACCCACGGCATGGTATGGGCAAGGCTGGCAGGGGGCTTCTCTTCCCTCCTCACTCAGACATTAATTAATTGGAAACGGTTTCGTGATTCTCAGCACCTTTTAATGCCAGAGCCCTGGCTCTTTGCACCCACAACACCCCCACGCGCTCGTTGCAACCCTTCCGCCCCCCCCCCCCAGACCTCTGGGGCCTCCTAGCTTGGCTGCCACTCAGCAGCCACCCTTCTTCTCCTGAAGTGTGGGGAGGGGGACCCAAGGCTG